GGATACTAACCCTTTATTGGATATGTCATTTGGAAATATCTTCTCCCATTCAGTAGGTTGTCTTTTAGTTTAGTTGGTTGTTTCCTTTGGTGTGCAGAAGCATTTTATTTTGACGTAGTCCCAATACTTTATTTTTTGCTTTTGTTTCCCTTGCCTCAGGAGACATATCTAGAAGGATGTTGTTATGGCCAATATCAGAGAAATTACTGCCAGTGCTCTCTTCTGGAATGTTTATGGTTTCATGTCTCACATTTATGTCCTTAATTCATTGAGTTTATTTTTGTATATGGTGCAAGAAAGTGGTCCAGTTTCATTCTTTCACACGCAGCTGTCCAGTTTTCCCAATACCATTTGTTGAAGAGACTGTCTTTTTCCCATTGGATATTCTTTCCTGCTTCGTTGAAGTTTAATTGACCATATAATTGTGGATTTATTTCAGGGCTTTCTATTCTGTTCCTTTGATCTACAGAAATCTGTTGCATTTCTATTACACTAATAATGAAGCAGGAGAAAGAGAAATTAAGAAAACAATGACATTCACAATTGCACAAAAAATAATGAGATACCTAGGAATAAACTTAACCAAGGAAGTGAAAGACCTATACTCTGAAAAATGTAAAACACTGATGAAAGAAATGGAAGACAATACAAAGAAATGGAAAGACATTCCATGCTTATGGATTGCAAATATTGTTAAAATATCTATACTACCCAAAGCAATCTACAGATTTAATGCAATCCCTATCAAAATACCAACAGCATTTTTTCATAGGACTAGAACAAACAATCTTAAAATCTGTATGGAACCACAAAGGACCCCAAATAGTGAAAGCACTCTTGAAAAAGAAAAACAAAAGTGGACGTATCATAATTCTAGACTTCAAGTTATATTACAATGCTGGAGTAATACAACTGATCTTTGAATTCCGCTATCTAAAAGTCATTTCTTTAGCTTTCCTACATTCATTTAGTATTGATTCAATTAGTATTTGTCAAGTGCCTGCAATGTGCCAAGCATGATTCTAGGCAATAGGGAATTGTCAATGAACAAAAGAGACGAGGACCTCATCAGTGTTTAAGAAGCTTACAATCTAATGGGGGAATAGGAACAATTCAAGAGAAATCTAATGAACAGGTACATTATATAGAATGTTAGAAGGCAGTGAAAGATATGGCAGAGCAGGATAATGGGGATAGAAATTGTTGGACTGGGCATAGTAGGTAGATTGCAATATTACATAGATTGGTCAGGGAAATCTCATTGAGAAGATGAGATATGAGCAAACATTTGGAAAGAATGTGTCAGCAAATGAATGGTAATGATAGGGCATTCCAGGCAAAGGGAAAGTTGGGGGAAAGTTCTCAGGCAAGGGAGTGGCTGACAGTTGTGAAGAATAGCAAGAAGGCCAAGTGGTGCCATCTGAGCAAGCCAAGAAAATGTTCTATAGTAGTGGTGAGTATTGTCAGAAAGTTCAAATCTGTGCCTTGTAAGGACTTTTGCTTCTGTTCTGAATGAAATGGAGAGAGGAGAATCATTACTGGATTTTGAGAAAAGGAATGATAGGATCTTTTTTTTTTAATATGTACAGTTTGTTGCATGGCAATTATATCTCAATAAACCTGTTCATTAAGGAAACCAAACTCAATAACAAATCAAAGACTCTAACAACAAGAAAAAAGATATTTGAACATACTTTCACCAAAGATAAATGGATGACAGTATGTGAAAAGATGTTCAACATCATTGGTCTTTAAAACTATTGGTCTACTTTGAGAAAAGACATACACACAGAGACAACTCATTTAAATAAAAAAAATATTCACACTAGATGCAATGTTGAGGAAAAAGTAGGGAGACAGGATAGAAACAAGCCTGTAAGGATGCTATATCAGCAAAAAAAAAAAAAAAATGTCAAGATACAATATTAATTTGGACCCATAGGAAATCTCTGGTGGTGATGAAAAGTGCCCAGATTCTGCATGTGTTTTGAAGGTAATGTCTATATTATTTCCTGAGGAACTGGATGTAGGATATAAAGTAAAAAAGAAGAAATAAAATGTTACTCAATTTTTTAGTCTGAGCAGTAGGAACAGTGGAGTTGTCATAAACTGAAATGTGGAGAGTTATGGATATAAGAGGTTTTTAAGTTGGAGGGAGATCAGGAGATAGATTTTGAACGTGTTGTGTCTAATATGTATATTAGAAATCCAAGTGAAGATGTTTGGTTGGCAATTGGAATATATGCATCTGACATTCAGATGGTAGATCTAAGCTAGTGATGTAAAATTGGGTATCATTACAACATAGACGGAATGTAAAGCCACATGAACAGTAAAGATGAACAAGGGAAGGATTGTACATGCAGACAAGAGCAGTACTAAAAACTGAGTACTACAACTTTCCAGTATTAAGAGATTGAAAAGTAAAATGGGGGGCCAATACACAGGATTGAGAATGAGTAACCAGGGAAGTACAAAGAAGGAAGATGAGAGTGCAGGATCCTGGAAGCCCAGTGATGAAGGCATAACAAGGAGGAGAGAGTGAGCAATTGCATCAAATCCTACTGATATAGGTCAAATAAGATGAAGACTATGAATAACCATACTAATGTTTTTGATACTAATATTCAAAAGAGTTCAAAGGAGAAGAAAAATGCCATGCCTTTAAGTTTTAAGGTTGGAATAGGCAAAGTCATCAGAGGATGGGATGAAGCACTCTTGACTATGAGTAAAAGAGAAAAGGCTCAACTAGAGATGGAACGAGAGTGGGCCTATGGAAATAAAGGACAGCCTGATGTCAAAATTCCACCAAAGCAAAACCATTTCTGAAGTGGAATTATGGCTATTGATTGAAATAGCAATGCTTCAGACATAAAGACACCAGCGACAATAAAACATGGCCTTGAAGAAACTTATGTAACTAATTAGAACTGGTTACTGTTGTAAAGGAAGAGTCAACAGGAAAATTCAAGAAGTTGGATATTGTTTAATCAATCCCCAACTTTTAAGATATGTAATCCATTATAATTCCCTAAAATTTGAAATATTTTACTACATTTGTGTAAAATATTGGTTAAGGAGAACTGGCTTTCCTTTTACCTCATGTTTTAAACTAAAAGGTTCAATAAAAATGTATCCAGTGTCTTGAAAAAAAAGTTTGTATCAACTTTTCCTTAGGGGGACACCTCTAAGTGATACACAACTTCTAAGTTATAATTAAAACATAATAAATTTTCCAGGGCTACAGATTTACTCACAAAAGTATGTAGTTTATTTATTTCTCTCTGAATAAATTGATCTTTCTCATATGCTTCCAGCTTTAGGTTAGCAAGGAAAAAAGCCTAATATTTAATTTAATAAACAAATGTAATCCATTCAGTACTTTGAATAGTCAATGTGAGTACATGTTCAATATCATTTACACAGTTATTGAGTTAAATACTCAACTCTCAGATTTCTGGCCCTGTTGGTGGAGAGGCATTTGTGTGTGGTTTAGGAGATATCTTTATGAGAGTGATGGTGCCTCAGATCATGAAGATATTTTCTGCATCCTTGCTCATCTTGACTATGGAATGGTAGTTCTGAACAACTCTGGACATGCAGCTGATGAAATATAGATGTCCAGGGTATGAGCATTGCTTAGTATCAGCTTCCAAACCATGGAGCTTGTTAACTTATGATCCTTTTTCTGTCTCAATTTGGTCAGAGCCGAGTAACCTTCTATGATGGTTTAGCCTCATCTTTACTCTCACCGGAGCTGAAGAATCCCCTAAGTTCTAGGTCCCACACAGTCTACCAATGTGGTCTACTTTATAGCTCTTGGCTACTGGAACAGTCTCTCCCTGCCATGGTCATAAACGACTCCATCTGTCAAGCTCCCCAGCCAGGTTCTCAGCTAGCATGCAAGTTCCTCCATCAGGAGCAGATAAGAAATTTGGGACACATTAATGCTACTTAGGGATTGAGGTCAATTCAAAAGAGTTGTGTTTAGGACTTTCCTCAGCCTGATCTTGCTATATCACTGAGTTCCTTGTGATGTGGCTATTTCCAAGTCCAAAATGATGATGGGAGCAGAAACCACTGTATTCTCAGTGTTCTCTCAGCATAGGAAAGAAAGAGAGAGAGGGAGAGAGAGAAAGAAAGAGAGAGAGAGGAAAGAAGAAAGAAAGAAAGAAAGAAGAAAGAAAGAAAGAAAGAAAGAAAGAAAGAAAGAAAGAAAAAGAAAGAAAGAAAGAAAAGAAAAGAGAAGGGAAGGGAAGGGAAGGGGAGAGGAGAGGAGAAGGGAAGGGAAGGGAAGAAAAGAGAAAGAAGAAAAGAGAAGAGAAGAGAAAAAAGCATTCCTTCCAGATCTCAACCCAAGGGAAACATTAAATGAACTGTCTGATCACATGTCTCCTAACTCTTCCCTCCACCCCTTATAGTCATAATCCTTGGAGACCAGAAGCTCCTGCACTGGCTAGCCCTCCTTCCACCCGGTTTGCAATGGACATCTCTGATCAACTTGGCCATGTCTGTTCTTTATATGATAAATGGTTGGGAGCAGTGGGCATGATACAAATTTATAAAATATTCTTACTCCACAAAATCTGGATTTCATTATTATTTTATTGTTGCATGTATCCTATTTGACAAGTCAGAGACTGAATATTAACTCATTCTTTCTCTCTGCATTTTCACTCTAAAATGTTAAATCCATCTGTATTACCCACTGCCAGGCCTTGGATGCTCAGTTTGATGGGAAGAAGAAACTGCACAGAAGAGTGAAAAACATTTCAACGTCTTTGAAAGACGACCACTGGTGCAAAGAAAAGATAAAACCCACATTTTTAAAAAGGACCTATGTTTCATATAGTATTCAACAAATGTAAACTCCAAATAATGATAGAATTTTCTTAGGAATTACCAATGTATTTGGGGGTTCAAAGATTTTTGTCCCAATAATCCTATATGGGTTGTTAATTAAGAAAATTTACAAAGGAAAACCTGTGCTTATTTTACAGGGAACCAGAGAGGAAGGATATACAGACCCTGCTCTGGCTGCTCAGGATGCAATGGTAACAAGAACCAGATCTCAAAGTGACTATGAAAACCCTTTGTTAAAATGGTCTGGGGTGGTTATGGGGCTACTTCCTAGCGGTATGATGTTTCAGGTCCTGTGGGAAGCCTGTCAGCAGAAGACAGGGGAACACAAAACCATGCTGCAAATGATCCTGTGCAACAAAAGTTATCAACAACTGTGGCTGGGTAATTATTAATCAGGTTTCTTTTCAGCTACTTAACTGATAGTATAATAGGAAGCAGGTAGTTAACTGGAAGGGAGAAAAAGGTAAATATTACATATAGAGGAAAGCTAGTCATCACGAAGGTACTTATTTTGAATTACATTTATACAGACACGTCTCATCTAATGACATTACTAAGGAATAAAATTTTCTTATAATTTTATTTTTTCCAAAAACTGAATTATATAAACTTTAAATACTGAATCTTTTAAAATCATCTCTGTTTCTGATGGAGAACTTACTCAAATAAATCAGCTATTTTCTATTAGGCATATTATATGTTTTCTTGAAAAGAATATAGTAAACATGGTTTAACTAGTCCATTACAAGTCAAGGAGATTATTATTAATGTCATGATTTATGTGAAGCTGCCATATTTGTCTCAGAGGTGCACTCATATTAGTTTACACATTGTTTGACCTCTATACTTTTCTGTTTCTTTTAGTTAAAAAAATTGTTTTGTTTTTTTCTACATAAATAAAACGCTATAAAAAATTGTAAAAGACAGCCTACCCCAACTCAACCTGTACCCCTATATTTTATTTACTTTCACTATTTGTAGAAATCTAATCAATATTTATATTTTAAATTTGTAATATTTATATTTTAAATTTATAATATGTACAAAATCTCCTTTGAATTGTATCAATTTGTTGAAGTTTTCCAGGAATTTCAAAATATTTCTGGGCAAGACATAGTAGATGCCATTAATGAATGCTATGATGGATACTTCCAAGAGTTGCTAGTTGCAATTGGTAAGTAATAATTTACTTGGTGTACAGCAGACCTTTCATTCCACAATAAATGCCGATTAGCTTGATTGAATTAAAGATGCATGACTTTGCTCTTCATTGAGTCACTTTCCCCTGAATTTAATTATTTAGTAAGGATGTTAACTCTATAGAGGAAAGTACATTAACTCCTGATACAATGCACTAAACTGGCAACTTGATAACTTAATGAACAAATACCCTTCTCTAATAGCTGGTTCAACTTTCATACTCTGAAACTGAATTCTCAGATAGCCTCTCAGGTAACTGGGATCTCATACCTTTAAATTCATTTTATATGTACTGATTTCCATTCCCTTGTTAAAGAGCAGATAAACGCTAGAAATATGGCTCCCTTTTCTCCAAGAGGAAGAGTTTTTTTTTCATCATTTTTAATATTTTGCCTTTGGGGTAAGTTCTACCATAAAAATTTACCAAGTTGTTACTTGGTAGTGATTTCTGCAGGCTACTGTGAGAGAGACATACCTCCATCTCTTTCCTAAGGAAAGATATCTTCCCATAGAGAGGAAAACAGTGGTAGCTATCCATAATGACTACTATTAAACTACCCATGCTGTACCTTGTGCTGTGCTATGACTTGACAGCATACATTGTAGGAACTACAAATGAATACAAATGAAGGGTCTTTGTGAAATATCCCCAGAGAGAACACACATCAAGCAATCACTTATATTTGTTGGATAAATGTACATTATGCTTTTCCATTCCTAGAATGGCACAAACATACATGGGCATTGGAGATAGTAGGGAACAGAATTTTTTTTTTATTGCTGTGCATTTTTTTTAATTTTTTATTGTTATGTTAATCACCATACATTACATCATTATAGGGAACAGAATTTTTATAGCTTAGTTTGTAAAGGAGTTTTAAGAGAGGGTTCCATTAAAAAGGTTTGGTGGGTTCTATGAAATCCTTAAAATAGTATATAATATATGAATATGTGTGTGTTTTTCTGAGAATATGGTGCATTTATTGTGGCTAATTCTCAATATAATTTAATAACCACGTATCACATCACAACTCATTTAACAACAAAGGCCCAAGGAGGTTAATTGAGTACTTCAAAGTCTATGAACTAATGAACAACAAAGTTATGACAAGAACTCATGTCATCTGAATTTCAAGATAGCTCTCTTTCCACTATAGACCATACCACAAACAAAGCAGTGGGTGAGAGGAAATAATGGAAATGAGAAATACCAGAAAACAATTTAACTGATTCATTCATTTATTCAATAAACATTTATTGAGTCATCTACTATTCTGTCCATTGATTCAGGCCCTACAAATCAACAGTAAAACAACAAAAACAACAAAAGCTCCTTCTCCTCAAAGTGTCCACATTCTAACAGTGACTCAAGAGTGCTATGAGGTTCACAGTTATAAATAAAAGTAAAAGATGAAGGCATGGTCTTACAATCTAAAATTATCATTTGAACTATAGAGAAAGCACTGTTGTGATGACTTTATTTTGCCCAAAAGTTATAGCCTCACATATGTTACTCATTTATTAACTTATTTACTTATTCAAATAAACATTATTGAATGTCAATAATCATCAACTGACCTCCATCAAGTACAACAATTCACTAGGCTATAAGTGGTTCTAATGCCATAATGCTTTTGATAAGATGACTCCTAACACTGGTCGAGGCCCCTTATCGCCCATCCAGTTTTGTTTTGTTTTTTTTTAAGAGACCTCAGATTTGGGGTGCCTGGGTTGCTCAATTGGTTGAGCATCTGACTCTTGGTTTCGGCTCAGGTCATGATCTCAGGGTCGTGAGATCCAGCCCCATGTGGCAGGCTCCACATTCAGTGGGGAGTCTGCTTGAGATTCTCTCCCTCTGTCCCTTGCCCCACCCACTCTCTGTCTCGGTCTCTCTTTCTCTCTCTCAAATAAATTTAAAAATCTTTAAAAACAAGAGAGAAAGACCTCAGATCTATTCATAAGTCTACAAGGGATTAAAGATAGTGTTTGGGAAAATGAATCAATTGCATATTGAATTCTATAATAATAAAAATCTATAATAGTGGTGATAACCTGGGTCTCTTTGAAGCTTTATTTAACTTTCAGATAAAAGGGACACATTTTTCTTCACTAGACACTGTGAAGGAACTAAGAGATCTCTAAGAGATAGAGATAGACTAAATGAAAATCTAAATGAGTCATTATAATATTGTTACTTTACCTTTTTCTATAGGTTATGGTTTTACCACCATTCTAAATATTGAAATTTTACTACAATGTACAATGAGGGATCCCGCATAGGACTCAAAAAGTTTCACTCTCCCAGGATTTTAACAGCAAAAAGGAAGTGTTTTCATTGTTTCCCAAATTCTGAAGAAAATATATATCGTCACTCTCAAACTTTCTTTTTTTTCTCTGATTTTTCCTAGTTCTCTGTATTCGAGACAAACCAGCCTATTTTGCGTATAGACTATATAGTGCAATCCATGTAAGTATGACCCACATATTTTTAAAATTTCCCCAGAAAATCATGTCTACTTTCTCAAAGCACTAGGTTTACTTTTATTATTTAAACATTTTTGAACTTGTATGCAAATATATTCATTTCAAACAAAATATGCTCAAGTGGAAAAAAAATGTATTATACACCAAAATAAGAACCACCAAATAAATAATGCTCTGCTTTCTGCATCAAATTGAGTTACCTGAGAAGTATGACTCCGTGGGACCTATCTCCCCCATGTGCTTTAGCTCTTCTTAGCATATGAAGAAACTGGCAAATCCAAAAGCTTTTGTATTTTGCCAAAGACCCCTATTCCATACTTAATTCAAGTACAAAACATAAAGTGTCAAGCAGGAAATGTCAAAACATTATAAAACCTTAGTAAGAAATTAATACATTTCTGAAATTTAAAAACATGAAATAATGGCAGTGGTTATTTTCAAACCTAAAGTGTTATTTTAAAAAGTACTTTAAAAAGAGATGGCTGACAACAAACTCTAAATCTATTTTGTAATTAAATGAGAATGTTGTTCATAGTTTAGTGTGATAGTCAATCACACATCCTTTGGTACATTTATTTTTAAAGAAACAAACACTTAAGTGCATGAAACAATGCACATTTTATCCATAATGTGCATAACACATTTTTAGAAAAAGAAAGTTCTGATACAAATCATTATACATATATCATACCTTCAAAAACTCAGTGAAAATTATTTTTTTAAAAGTCAGTAATACAGTAGTTTTAAGAGTCAATGTTTTATCCTCAAAGTAATTTTTCCAGGCCAACTTATTAAAAGTAGCTAGCATGCTGGGATAATATGATAATAGTCGAGAATATTTCTATTATATATCTTGTGTAAAGTGTATTTTTTATTTATGTACAAGAACCAACTTATGTATCCTCAAAACACATGTATCCTGTGGTCACAGACTTCACTTCTATCTTTTTCTATTTCCAAGCAGAAAAAGTTGACTTGATTTAAAAAATTTTTAAATAATATATTGGACAATGTTATGGAATGATTTCAACAGTGTCCTTCTCCAAAAAATAGAATGAAGTTTCACTTGTGAATGACCATGGGGAAATAAGCATAATTAGTCTGGTTCCAAATCTGTCCAAATTGAGGGCTACTTACTCTAATAATAAAAATTCTATTCCTTCTGTGTGTGTTTCAATGCAAAAATGAATATACATGTACTCACAAGAAGAGGATTGTATACTTAAATAATTGAATTTTTGATATATAATGACCTCAAATGTAAAATATTGGTCAAAGCTGTTTATATTACCCTTAACTAAAGAAAACTACAGGTATTTTTCTCTAGTGCACTCTAAATAAATGATATACAACTTAAATATGGAAACTTGGGTAAATCATTTAATTTAATCACATCAAATTGTGAAAAGATTGCTTAGAGGTCTATATCCAAAACATTCAGACATCAAAAATTTTATTATCCTCAAAAAAAAATATATATATATATATATATATACACATATATTTATATTATGCTCACTGGCCACTGGATGTCCCCATTACTCCATTTGAAAAGACAAGTTGAAATTGGTTTATAAAGCAATATTCTTTCTGGAGCTAGTATACAAAAATTTATTTTTGTATTTTTCAGTATTTGAGTTTAAATCCAAAAATATTTCAAATACCTGGAATTTTTATTTTTACAATTTTTAGTAATAGACTGTAAAATAAAAATGTAATTGCTGTCTCACTCAGACATATCAAAGTTCATCTAACATAATTCAAAACCCACCTCCCTCCCTGGCCTAGAATTTTTACCTAGAAAGAGCACATGATCAGATTTGTATTTTATAATGTAGTGTGAGGGTTGGCCAGGGGGTAAAAGGAAGGAGCTGTTGCAGAATCAGGAAGGAGAGAGTGTGAGGGTTGGCCAGGGGGTAAAAGGAAGGAGCTGTTGCAGAATCAGGAAGGAGAGAGTGTGAGGGTTGGCCATGGGGTAAAAGGAAGGAACTGTTGCAGAATCAGAGTGCTCTACATATAGAGCAATTCCACCTGAAGAACTGAAAGCTGAACAGCTTCTGCACAACAAATAATGAAGGGTCTGCACAGAGAAGGATAGGAGAGTTGGAGACATAGTAACCTCTACACAAAGACCTATCATAATAGGGAGGGATATCACTGAGGTGCCCATGCACAGACTCACCTGCCCTGGGCACAGTGAAGACACAGCAGTTTAAAGGGCAACTAGACTATAAGTAAAGGAAATTCATTCATTAACCTTAAAACATCCACCAAATGGGTGAGGAACTGTGGGAAGCCTCTCTAGGGTCGTATGTGTGAATGAGCACCAATTTTCACATTCCCCCTCCACCTTGATAGCAGAGACAGAAACAGGGTCCAGATGCTCTACCCGGCCTGCTAAGGTGGCCCCAGCATGCCCCGAGCCCCTGACCCACACCAGCTTCAGCAGTCCCACCACAGGCAACATACAGATGGCCAACTGGCCAACAGGCCCATGAAAAGATGCTCAACATCACTCATCATCAGGGCCATGCAAATCAAAGCTACAGTGAGATATCACACATGCCAGACTGGCTATTATCAAAAAGACATAAAATAACATGTGTTGACAAGAATGTGGAGAAAAGAGAATCCTCATACACTGTTGGTATGAATGTAAATTCGTGCAGTCAATATGCAAAACAGTATTGAGTTTCCTGAAAAACTTAAAAATAGAATCCAGCAATTCCACTTCTGAGTATTCACTCAAAGAAAACAAAAACACCAATTTGAAGAGATATAAGTGCCTCCATGTTCATTGTAGTATTATGTACAATAGCCAAGAAATAACTTATGTGTACATCAATAAAGACTGTGTCACACACACACACACACACACACACAGGAATATTACTCAGCCATTAAAAAGAATGAAATCGTGCCATTTGCAACAACATGGATGGACCTATAAGGTATTATACTAAGTGAAATAAGTCAGAGAAAGACAAATACCATATTATTTCATTTATGTGTAGAAGCTAAAAAACAAAACAAATGAATAAACAAAGTGGAAACAGACTTACAGATACAGGAAACAAACTATTGGTCACTGAGGGAGAGGGGTGGAGAAACGCAAAATAGCTAAAGGGGATTAAGAGGTACAAACTTCCAGTTATAAGATAAATAAATCCTGGTGATATACAGCATAGGGAATGTAGTCAATAATATTGTAATAAATGTTTGGCGAAAAACTGTATGGTAAGAAATTAGATCGATGGGGATCATTTTGTAATGTATTAAAAATACTGAATCACTGTGACGTACATCTGGAACTAAGAGGCAATAGTACGTCAATTATACTTCAACAAAATACATAAGTAAAGCAAAAGAAAGAAATCAGATAGGTAGAATACTTCACCGTATGTACACCGTATGAGAGAGGGAGAAGTCTCAGAGGGGACGGAGTCAGACTGGGGCCCCCACTCCCCCGATCGCCATGCCAGTGTTTGAGGAGTAAAGGATGAATAAATGGCCACAGAAAGGATGAGTCTGTATCAGATAGATTAACTTTAAGGTACTGTTTTCTAATTTTTTTCTCTCCTCTTCTGTATCTTTCAGGACTTCGGTTTCCATAATAAAACCGTAATCAGGATTCTAATCGCCAGAAGTGAAATAGATCTGATGACCATCAGGAAACAATACAAAGAGAGATACGGAAAATCCCTGTTTCATGACATCAAAGTAAATCTCCTACACGTGATTTATTTTGTCCCAGATTTTATCTTTTTTGAAACTGAAATAAGAGCTTTAATTTAAGTAACTTCATGTTGGAGTCTAAAAAGCTAACTATTCTGACAAAGATGATCTACTTTGGTACATCAGACAGCCTTTAGTGCGTCAACCGGGGGCTACGTTAGGAAACCCCTTCACCTCAGTAACAGAATTTGTTTCTCTTTGATGTGTTTCAAACAAAAATTGTTGATGGAGTCATGTAAAACATTCATCCCCTAACTGTGTAATTGTGCTTCGTGAGTTAAATTTTGAAGCGTGATCAGTATCAGGAAAAATAACGTTTTGCAGTAAGGCCACACTGATTGTAAAGAGGCTTCTTAGGTCAGTTCAGCTCTCATACTGTCATAGAATGCAGCGCAGCAGGTCGAATCCCATAAACTGGTAACTTGGAGGGATTTAACACTGATAGTTATGTAAAATTCTATGCACCCCTATCCCTTTAGCCCTTGAAGGGCAAAGCAGCAATGATTCAGAAGTAAACAAACCAACTTACTCATTCTGATATGTCTAAATTTTATTCTGGATTTTGATAAAACCTAGCAAAGCCTTGGGGCTACATATGTAATTTTTGGCACCCCATCTAAAATTAAAATATTTGACCTCTCGTTCAAAAATTTATAAAGAATTTAGGGATGGCATCAGCAGAGCATTAAACCAAGCACAGGGCCCTGAGAATAAATCTTGCCTTATAATTTGCACATAGCTAAGGGCTGTTACCTGTTCACATTGTTTTACACTGAAATTTTCAATTGCATAAAATAGCTTTTTAGTTTATTAAAAGTGATCCAGAAGCAACTTGACAACCTAAGGACCAAAGGACCATAAAAAAACAGAAGACCCTGTAAGCCTTTGCATAGCCAAAGTGTTTTCTAAAAAGAGGCATTGCAGCAGTTAGGAGAAATTTTATTCCTTTGTTTTGATAAAACTCTCCTTGCACCTGCCTTCAAAACCCTCAACTTTTAGCGGCAATAAACATTTCTCATTGAGAAATACATGTCATAACTCATTTTCTAAATAAATAAACTAATTCTAACATATATACTGCAATTAATCAAGCCACCTCAAAGTCTACATGTAATTAATGTAACTTTACTATATGCATTTAAAACAGTGAATTGTAATTGCATGACTTTGTGTGAGAGAACATTAATATGATAGTTGATTTTTAACATAGGTTTTATAATTCCATTTATTTCCTACTATTATTGTCTTGAAAATCTTAGAAACTACAGAAGACCATAAAAAGAAGATAAAAATTGCCCTTTTTCTCCACCATAGACAATCAGTAATGAAATGTTATTGTAGGTGCTATCTTTTTAAAAATATATGTAAACATTAATATGGTTTACTACATAAAGGAATACTTTTATTGAATCATGGTATTCCACTGTATAAGTTAAAAAATACATGAACTACCCCGCATTATTAAATACTGCTTTTTACTTTTTCACTATTATATATAATGTTGTCTATATTTCTGAGTGTACATTTTTGTGCTCTTCCATAATTGATCATTATTTCCTTAGGATATATTTCTTGAAGTAGAATTACTGCACTAGGAAGTATAAACATTTTTAAGTCTTTGGAGGCATATTGTCAATTTGCCCTACAGACTCTCAACTGATTTATAACAATAATATCAAGACACTGCTTTTAAAGTTGAGGAGATTTAATTCTACTGTGAGTTATTCTTTTCATAAATACACATTAGGGTTCAATAAACTTTATATAAACCCTATTCTATTGACTATAACCATGGTATTATTTTTCAATAACTTCCCCTGGGAATAGTTCTCAGAACATATTAAATCTTTAGATAGAAAGAGTCAACAATTTTGGAAACGCTAATGGCCCATGGATCTTTCTCATTATAATTCAGAGGAATCATGCTTCTTTTTAGAATACTATGACATTTTATTTCAAATACATTGTTTGTTTGTTTGTGTTTGTTTCAGAATTTTGCTTCAGGGCATTATGAGAAAGCTCTGCTTGCCATCTGTGCCGGTGATGCTGAAGACTATTAAGTCAAAAGAAGGATGTGGAGGACACTGCACTCCTATTTACAGACATGTCAAAATACAGAGTTTGTGATATGTTTGCCTTGTTAGATGCATTATAGTAAAACGATAGAATCATATTTTCTCTTCTATCTTTAAAATCATTCTAAGCCAAAAAAAAAATCTATTGATAAAACTATATGAGACTGGATTTGTACTTATCATTCAAATCAGCAATTTACTAAATGGAATAATGAAACAATGGAATAATAAAAACAATTTCATTGAAATATATTTTATTTAAATGTGAATTGTCAATTCCCTACAACAAGAAAATCTGCTCACAGCTGTCCTTAGCATGCTTGGGAAGAGGAAAACATGGTGTGTGACCAACCCCCTTAGAGAAATTTTCAAGGTTTTTGTACAAATGCAATAAAGCTAAAGTGAACATCTAAAGCTGCCTTTATTTAAAAGAAAATGAAGATATAAAACAGCAAAGTGCAGCCATATAGATGCTTGTCAGGCTTTGATATGTAAGAGACCTGGATGTAAAAATTGGTGTATGGATCTGTGTGTGAGTGCAGACATGTGTTTGAGGTGGAGCTGTGTGTATTTGACAACCATTCTGGTAAAGGTAGTTTATCTCTAGCTAATTTTTTTTTTTAATGTGAGTGCCTAACCAAGCCAATATTTGTCCATGCAATATCAGAAAAGTCATTGCTCATTGTTTTTGTCTTCCCTTCTTAACATCAGCATCAAAGCCATTTGGAAGTTATTATGTGCTTTGTACCATCCATAAAGCCTGGCCCCTTGTGTGTCTGAAGATTCAGTAAATTAAGGACAGCAAAGGAAAAATACTGAGGTCAGATTTGGGAGAGAATCTAGATTGATGCCACAAACTAGCCAAGAATAAAGGCAGAAACAGAGAATAAAGGCCCCTTGTGTGTCTGAAGATTCAGTAAATTAGGGACAGCAAAGGAAAAATACTGAGGTCAGATTTGGGAGAGAATCTAGATTGATGCCACAAACTAGCCAAGAATAAAGGCAGAAACTTAGTGAGTCCACAACAGAAGGCTCCCAATATATGCAAGGGAAAACACAAAACCCAAGATCACAGGAAACAGCAGTTAATGAAGTCAAGCTAGGAAAATGAGGACACACGCAATAAATCTAGATGACCTGGCAAAGTGGATAGGAGTGCTCTGTTCCACATGGAAGGTTTTTTTTTCAATAACCTGTAGCCCAGTCCCTGTAGATCTGTCTTCACCGGTCTCAGGAGAAGTGAAAAATGTATTCAGAACCTGTTTTCTTACAGGTGAAATGATTCAGGACATTTAGATAGAAAGAGTCAACATGAAACATTTAAGAAAAATTAGACTTCTGAAATCACTTTCAAGATTTCAACTTACTGCTATGATGTATGATGTCATATCATTTTAAATTGACTTTAATTTTTATCTTTAAAAAAAATCTTTAACATTTCAGTCAAAGGTAGTAATTATTTGAGATATTTAGCATAGCTATTCTTCCAGATAATTTTTAAGATAAGAGTTTTAATACAAGAAAAATGTTAGAATTCCTACTGAGAATTTAGGTATTTAAATAAAAAATTTCCTTGCTAGGACATTTTTGTGTAAATAGTTCAATAAATTGTGAAATTTATACTTTTGCTAGGTAATACCTTTTATTTCTTTGGTAAGGCATGCCATTATTGAATCAAAAACAAATCTGGACTTATACAGGGAGGGATTTTATTCAAAAAGTCTGTTGCGATAAGTGGGGATAGGAGCTGCAATAGGTAAAGAAGGGTTACTGCAACAGAGAGAATGTTCTGAATGTGGGTTTACAGGGATCTCAAGGGTCAGCCAGAAAAGGACTTTTAATTTATAGGGATGAATAAACAAGACTAGAAAGAATCAGGTGTGGGGGAATGGGATGAATTTGTGGCATGATTGGACAATTCCTCTGGGAATGTCTTGGCTAACATTGCCAGTCATTGATCTGAGATTGGACAGTTGATCTGGGACAGCTGACGCGGGAATGCCTCTAGTTAGTTTTCAGCAGGAGCTAAAGGGTGGATTAAAGTCCAGGGACCTGTGGTGAGGGAAGAAACCTGAGTAAAGTTTAGTCAAGTTAGCATGCATTTTGTCCAGAGTGGTCAGTAGGGGAAAACAGTTCAACTAATCATTTATGAGGGCAAAGAATAGGAATTTGAAGGGTGTATTGAGGACTGTTATTGGTAAACAGGGGGTCATCTGCAAGTCTTATCTGAGTCATATAGGAAAAAATGGTTCCATGTTATAAGCCATTTTCTGAAACACAAATGGGTGGGGAAATTTCTTGATCATATCTATTTCCCAGGATCACAGTGCTTGGGTAAAGATCAACATTGTCAATGTCTTTTTTTCCAAAGTTTTGTCTTGAATGCTTCACTTAGTTGTTTAAATGCCAATACAACATTATCATCTTCACCATTACATAATTCACTTAGTGAAGTCCTGTAAAAAAGTGTCTAAATTATTATCATTGTTATTTGTGTTTAATGTTATTTAGCTGTTTATATCATCTTCAAATGTTTACTGTACCTGATGGACTGAATAACAAGTGAAATATCTCTGATTAAATTAAAAAACATCTCCCATATTTAACCTATGGGGGAAAAAAAAAAAAAACATTTAAAGGAATAAATTTGCTTTCGGTGTGTTACCAATCTCCAGTAAAGAAAAGTAAATTACCAATGAATTGCTGGCCATTCCAGAGACAAAATAAAATCAGATAGGAAAGGCTGCAGAGAGATGTTTATGTCCATTGCATTCAGTATTTTACTATGCTCAGTTTAGCCCTAAATAGGTTAAATTTGTAAAGAGGCTAATAATTTAGCTAAGAAAATATGACTTTTAGTGTTCTTATATAACAGCATATTATTATCACCAAAGTTAAATATTTCACATATGTTAACAACAGTGCCAAATATGTGATGTCACTGAAAATGGCAGAGTAGGTTGCTGTAAGGGCCCATCCCTCCACAGAAGCATCAAAAATAATCATGCAAAAACTGTCAGAATTAACTTTGTCAGAACTCTGGAAAATAGTAATTATGTCTAAATCAAGAAAAAAGTTACAGAAGGTAGGAAAAGTTTTTTTCAAAAAAAAAAACATTTTTATTTGTTCTTTCCCTATCCTCCTCCCAGCTCAGTTACAGTTTTGAAGACAGGAGCTTATCCCCAAGGTGGACCGCTGGTTCCTTGTTCTAGAAGAAGCAGATCTGGCTTATTAACAAAGAATATGTTTATCTGTCTGTTCTGTCTGGGAGCTCCTTAAAGGACCAAGTTGAGGCACTTGTCTTTGTTTTGTCCAACTCAGAATTCACTCAAGGAGGAAAAATTATAAGATAAATGAACCACTTGCAGCTGTCTAGGGCAAAAGATTACAGTTGAAGCAGTCATTAAGTAATTAAGTAATGAAAACCTGTGAAGAAAATTTGGGAAATCTATACATTCCCCATACATAGGGGGATTTAGAAAGCCATGCACATGCCTAAGGCAGGACACATGGCCAAAAACACTTGAGAAGATCCTAAGCTTTCAATTGACTGGTCTCTAGGATTAGTCCAAGCAGAAAGTGAAGGGCAAGGCAGAGTTGTAAATCATCTAAATATTGAAAGGGCATCCCAGCACAAAGCCAAGCTACAAAACGTGGGAGAAATATTTTTCTTAATTCCTCCTCCTCCCCCTCTTCTTCTCTCATTCTTGTTCATTCCTGTGTTCAAAGAAATCTCTGTCAAAACAGTGCCAGAATACAAGCTAAAGAAGCAGGGACTTCAGAGACCACACATGATGAAGAATATAGACATTAAAAAATTGTTTAGAAAAGCCACTAAACTACAGCTACAGTGAACAGCTAGAAACAAAAACAAATGTTAAGAAGAAAAAAAATTCTAGAATTACTGCATCATAATATTCAAAACATACAATTCTCAAAAAAATTTATGAAGCATGAAAAAACATAGAAGTATACTCATTAACAGATGAAATTACTGGAAACTATCCCTGAGAAACAAACAAGACAAAGGCATAAAACTTATAAAAAGCAAATATTAAAACAACAAAAGTAAGTTCTTTGTTATCAGTAATTATTTTATATGTAAAATAGATTAAATGTAAATAGATCAAAAGATGAAGATTGCAGAATGGATTAAAAAAAAAACATGATTTGACTATATACTGACTGTAAGAGACTCACTTCAGATCCAAAAACACAAAGATGTTAAAAGTGAAATGATGGAAAAATGTATTCCATACGAATAGCAAATAAAAGAGAACTGAGTAGCTTACACTAATATCAGACAAAATAGATTTTAAGTCAAAAACTGTTACAAGAGGGTTGCCTAGGTGGCTCAGTCAGTTAAGCATCCAATTCTTGATTTTGGCTCAGGTCATGATCTCAGGATTGTGAGATCAAGCCCCACGTTGGGCTCTACACTCAGTGGGGAGTCTGTTTGGGACTCTCTCTGTCCCTCTCCCTCTGTTTTTCCTCCCCGTCCCACTCTCCCTCTCTCTCTCTCTGGAATAAATAAATAAATTTTTTTTAAAAACTGTTACAAGAGATTTAAAAAAGACATTATATATTGATAAAAGGTTTAATTCAGCTAGAAGATATAACAATTAAAAATATATAAACCCCCCAAAAAAGAACCCTCAAATATATGAAGTAAACATTAACAGAATGGAAGGAAGAAACTGACAGTTCTAAAATAATAAAGACTCCAATACCCTACTTCCAATAATAGATAGAACGTTTAGATAGATCAGTAAGGAAATAACTAACTTAAACAATACCATAACCAACTAGACCCAATGGACAACATACCCAACAAAAGCAGAACATGTACAAATATTATCCAGAAGACACCATATGTTAGCCCACAAAACAAGTTTCAATATATTTAAAAATACGTAAGTCATACAAAGTATCTTTTCAGGCCATAAAGGAGTGAAGCTAAAACTCATTAAAATTAAGAAGTTTAAACTAATCACATAAGCTTAAACTTATATGATTAAAAATCATATAGCTTAAGAAGGGGCATTGGAGAATTGACAAATATATGGAAATTAAACAGCACACAAACAATGGGTCAGAGAAAAAATCCCAGGAAAATTAGGAAACACTCAGCAATAAATGACATTAAAGCACAACATACCAAAACTTATGGGACACAGAGAAAACAGTGCTCAGCGGAAATTTATACCAGTTAATGCTTTTTTCATTGAAAAAGATAAAAGATCCCAACAACCTAATTTTATACCCTAAAGAACTAGAAAAAGGAAAGTA